GGGCTACAAAAATGTGCATACCCTTTGATCCAGCAATAGCACTTCTAGGGCTATATCCCAAAGAGATCAAACAAATGGGAAAAGGACCCACATGTACAAAAATATTCATAGCAGCTCTTTTTGTGGTGGCAAAGAATTGGAAATTGAGAGGATGCCCATCAATTGGGGAATGGCTGAGCAAGTTGTGGTATATGAATGTAATGGAATACTATTGTGCTATAAGAAATGATGAACAGGCTGACTTCAGAAAAACTGGAAAGACTTATATGGTCTGATGCTGAGTGAAGTGAGCAGAACCAAGAGGACTTTGTACACAATAACAGCCACGTTATGCGATGACTAATATTGTTAAACTGAACCCTTCTCAGCATTACAAGGATCTAAGACATCTCCAGAGGCCTCGGGATGGAAAATGCTGTCCACATCCAAAGAAAGAACTATGGAAGTCGAATCGCTATCACTTATTTTTACCTTCTGTTGAGTTTTGTTTCATCTTTCTGATGGTTTCTCCTATTGGCTTTAATTTTTACTTACAACTTCACTAATGTGAAAATATGTTTAATGGGAATGTAAATGTAAAGCCTATATCAGATTGTGCGCCATCTTGGGAAGGGTGGGGGGAAGGAAGAGGGAGAAAAATTTTCAAGTCAAAAGCATATGGAAGTGATTGTTGATAAATCAAAGTAAATTAATAAAATTTAAAAAATAAAAGGTAAAAAGAAAATAATTAACTACTTTAGCAAAGTTGGAGGATATATAGTTAATCCACCTAAATCATCAACATTGCTATATATAACCAATGAAGTCCAGCAGGAAGAGATAGAAAGAAAACTTCCATGTAAAATAACTGTAGACAACATAAAATACTTCGGAGTCTACCTGCCAAGACAAACTGAGGAATTACATGAACCCAAAATATTTTTCACACAAATAAAGTCACATTTGAAAGATTCAAAATATCAATTGCTCGTGGATAAGATGAGCCAATGTAATAAAAATAGCAATTCTACCTAAATTATTATTATTCACTGCCATACTAATCAAACTACTAAAAATCATGTTAGAGTGAGAGAATCATAACAAAATTCATCTGGAAGATCAAAATTCTAGAATGTCAAAGGAAATAATGAAAAAAAATGAGAAGGAAGGTGGACTATCTGGACCAGATAGTAACTGTATTATAACTGTAAATCTTCAAAAGCTATCTGGTTACTGTAAGAAATAGAGTAGTGGGGGCAGCTAGGTGGCGCAGTGCGTAAAGCACCAGCCTGAAGTCAGGAAGGCCTGAGTGCAAATCCATCAGAACAAACACTCACAGTTAGTAGCTGTGTGACCTTGGGCAAGTTACTTAACCCCAATTGCCTAAATATATATATATATACTATATATATATATATATATATATATATATATATAATATGTATATATATATGTATATATATATATGTATATATATATATGTATATATATATATATGTATATATATATATATGTATATATATATGTATATATATATATATGTATATATATATATGTATATATATATATATGTATATGGAGAGAGAGAGAGAGAGAGAGAGAGAGTAGTGGATCGGTGAAATAGATTAGGTGCACAAGATGGTAGTAAATGACCATGGAAGCTATCATTTGATAAACCCATAAGATCCCAGTTTCTGACAAGAACTCACTATTGAACAAAAACTTCTGGGGAAACTGGAAAACAGCACAACAGAAACTAGATATAAACCAACATTTCACACTGTCGACCAAGAGAAGGTGAAAATAAGTACATGATTTAAATATAAAGGGCAAAGAAAATTAGGAGAGCATGGAATAGTTTACCTGTCAGATCTATGAGGAAAGGAAAAATTTAGGACCAAACAAAAGATAAGAGCATTACAAGATTTAAAATGGATTATTTTCATTATATCAAATGAAAAAGATTTGCACAAACAAAACCAATGTAACTGGGAATAAAAGGAAAGCAAAAAGCTGGGAAACAGTTTTATGGCAAACATCCCTGATAAAGGCCTCATTTCTCAAATATATAGAGAACTGAATCAAATTTATAAAAATGCAAGTCATTCCCCAATGCATAAATGGTCAAACGATATGAATAGACAGTTTTCACATGAAGCAATCAAAGCTATTTATAGTCATATGAAAAAAAATGCTCTAAATCACTACTGATTAGAGAAATGCAAAATTAAAACAACTCTGAGGCACCACCTTATACCCATCAGATTGGCTAATATGGCAGAAAAGGAAAAGGACAAATGTTAGAGAGGGTGTGGGAAAATGGGGACTCTAATGCAGTGCTGGTATAGCTGTGAACTGTTCTGACCATTCTGGAGAGCAATTTGGAACTGTGCCCAAAGGGTAATCAAACATGCATACCTTTTGATCCAGCAATACCACTAGTAGATCTGCATCCCAGAGTGACAAAACAAAAAATGGAAATGAGAGAAAAAATGGAAATGGACCGAATTGTACAAAAATATGTATATTAATTTGTGGCTCTGTGTGGTAGCAAAAAATTAGAAATCCAGGGAACACCGATCAATTGAAGAATAGCTGAACAAGTTGGGATATGTGTATATAATGGAATATCACTGTGCTATAACAAAATTGAGCAAGGAGATTTCAGAAAAACCTGGAAAGATTTACAAGAACTGATGCAACATGAAATAGGTAGAGCCAAGAGAATATGGTACACAGTAACAGAAACATTGTAGGGATGATCAGTTACGAATGACTTAGTTCTCAGAAATACAATGGTCTAAGGTAATTCCAAAGGACTCATGCAGAAAAATGCTATTCACATCCAGAGAAAGAACTGATGGAGTCTGAATATAGATCAGAACATACTGTCTCATTTTCTTTATTGTTTTTATACTTTCTTTCCCTTTTGGTCTGTTTCTTCTTCCACAATATGACTAATACGGGAATATGTTTTACATGATTACACATGTACAGCCTATATCAAATTGCTTACCATCTTACGGAGGGTGAAAGGAGGGAGGGAGAAAATTTGGAATTCAATATTTTTTTTAAAATGTATGTTAAAATTGATCTTTACATGTAATTTTAAAAATAAAGTATTATTTTAATAATACCATTGCACCATAAAGAATAACAAAGGGGGCAGTTTCAGAGAAACCTGAGGAGACTGATGCTGAGTAAAGCGAGAAATAGAGAACAATTTATGCTATAACAGCAACATTATACAGACAAACAATTTTGAGACACTTAAGAACTCTGATCAATGTAATGACCAAGTATATTTCCCGAGGACCATGAGTGTGCATATTGTGCACCTCCAGACAAATGGGTGATGGACTGACTCAGGGTGCAGAATGATACAGATTTTTGAAGGGATCCAATAGGGGAATTTGCACAGCTTAACTACATATTAATATTTTTTATGATGGTTTAATTTTCATTTACTTTTTTTTTCATTGTATTAGTGAGGGAAAGGTGCTAGATGGGAGAAAAATTTAACACTTGTTCATTGAAAAAAAGTAAAGTGAAACATATTAAAAAAAAACAAAAACAAAAACAAAATTTTGGATTCCCTCAAAAGAAATAAGCAAGTGAGAAGGAATGGATTTTGAGCAAAATCATGATGCCATCCAGTAGATGACCTTGCGGGGATCCTCTTTACCAGCTGGTAGTCTCTCAATGTGGCTCAAGTTGGATGGTGGTTTCTTTGAAGGATGTCTAGGGCTTTGTAGATGATCTGACTGGGTGTCTGGTATCCGTTGGTGGTCTTGATGGGGACCTAGCATTCAAGTGGTGACCTCAGTGGGGCCCTAGGCTCCAGTGAATGGTTTCACTAGGGCTCTGCCATATGATTGGGGTCTCATGGAGGTCCTGGGACACAAGTGCCAGTCTTAGTTGAGGCCTTTCATGAGTGCCAGGTGGACAAGTAGAAGTGAAAATAGGGACCTGACACTTAATTGTAGATCTCTCCTTGAGGGATATGTCCTTGGTAGACACTACCCCTGCCTTGGGAGTCTGGCAGCTCCTGGGATTGAGAAAGGAGAAAGAGGCTCTGATTGGGTTTATTCTTCCAATCTCAAATTCTCATCCTTCCAATGGAGGCTGCCCCAGTTCCTCCAAGACCATTCAGAAGCTAGACTCCCATGAAGATCACCAAGCAGATGCCAGGGTCCACTGACAGCTTCAGTTGGTAGTCAAGGCCACAAGGGGATCACCAATTCTCTGGAGAAGAATGAGAAAACATGAAAATGATGGAAAATGCTTTCCACATTCAGAAAAAGAAATAGAGTCTGAATGCAGATCGAAGCACACTATTTGTGCGCTCTCTCTCTCTCTCTCTCTCTCTCTCTCTCTCTGTTTCTTCTTTCTCATGGTTCCTCCCATTGGTTCTAATAGTTCTTCACAACATGACTAATATGCAAATATGTTTAATATGGACGTTATATGTAGAGCCTACATCAGATTGCATGAAGTCTTGGGGTAGGAGGAGGGAAGGAAAGGGACAAAAATTTGGAACTCGAAATCTTATGGAAGTCAATGTTTGAAAACTAAAATAAAATTAATTAATATTAAAAGAAAAAAAAGAAAGACATGAAGAAATTGGAAGAGAGAAAAGAGAAACAGGTAGAGAGAACCAGTATGACCAGCCTGTCCTGAAAGGACTACTGGAAAGGAGATGGGACACATCCCCTTAGTTGTTGGCCTTAGGGGCTCACCTCTCATGAAAAGGAAGTTGTCTATGATGTCTGACCCCAAAAGCCTTTGTAAAGAAAGAGCCTTAGACTAAGTCATTAGCACCTGCTACTGTAACTTGTGGCTGTGACTCCCCCAAAAGTTACTTCTTGTCTTTGTGCCTCAGTCTCCTCAGCTTAAAATTGGGCCATTTGTCCTCAATTATCTTTAACACCCCTTCCAGCTCTATCATTCTATGTTCCAAGGTCCCTTCAAGGTCTAACATTCCTTCTCCTCTGTGTGCTAACTCTGTGCCTCTCCAGTTCTGACTCTGCTCAAAGGGCTCTTCCATCTCTGATATTGCATGTTTGGAGGCTCCTTTCAGCTTGGACATTCTCTGTTCTGCGGTTAGGAAAAAAGCCACAGTTTACACCTTTCTTATTCTCTAAAGCCAATTTTCAAGAATGCTAATTGAATCATTGTGCCATTTGAATGGAGGATAATGCTTCTGATAGGGAGAAAGGTTCTAATAAGGGACTGGTGTAGTGGTTAGAGTGCTGGATATGAATGCAGGAAGACCTGAGTTCAAATCCTGCCACACACAGGTCATAGGCTGTGTGACCCTAGGGAAGTCATTTAATCTCTTAGTGCCTCAGATTCCTTATCCACAAGATGAGGGGGAAACTGGATTCACTGGTCTCTAGGTCTCTTTCAGCTCTAAAATCTACAATCTTTTCCTCTTCTAACTTTGTAAGTTCATCCTCCCCGCCTATGCCTATGGCTCCCCACTCACGGTGGATGGGGAATACATTGTTTTTGTTGGTATGGGAAGAAAGGTTCTAGGTCCCCCAAGTCATCAATGGGGCCAAAAATATCCAAATCCAATCTAGGTTGATTCCATAGTCCCTCATTCTGTCTGGGGCATGAGCAATCTGTATATCCATACTGCTTTGGATAGGCTAAAGTTTGTACTAAGGGAAGATTGTTTGAAGGAGCTTACCCAGCAATCCTGCCCACAGAGCTGCTCCTGTGTGAACCAGGGCTGGGCAGGGAGCATAAAGTCCAATTGAGAATCTCTGGGAAGAGAAAATTGCCTGGGCTGATTGAGAGAAAGAGTGGGGAGCTGCCTTGTGGAAAGGTTTGAAATTTGGAGAGAAGGAGGGGCTGGGCAAGTTAATCCCTGTGAGTGCAGCCCAGGCTGGTGGTATAGTTGGGGAGGGGGAAGGGCTGGGAGGGCAATGAGGAGCTTCAGCTGCCAGGCTGCAGTCCTAGAATCATGGAATCTTCCAATCACAAGACCCTCAGATTTAGAGGGGACTGCAGATGCCTCGTTCCCACCTAGGCCTGAGCACCAATCCCCTCTACAGCATTCAGGACTTATGGGTATCCAGCCAGTGCTGGAGAACTGAGTCTTTTCCTCCTGAGGCAGCCACTACCACTTTGGAGAAGCTTCCTCACAGAGGAGAGCAGTGATTTGAGCCTGATCCCCCCCACCTCCAAACTAGAGAGTCCTCAGAGCCCCTCAATCCTCCCTCCCCTCTCCCCACCATAGAGGGCTAGAAGTGTCATCTCTGGGTATCAAGGATGCCTGTTCACAGAGATCCATCCTAGGACCCAGTCCTGAAAGCCGTGTCAGAGGGGGTTCTGGAACTCCATAGAGGTCAAGTGAATTGTCATGGTTACCTAGGTTACTTGAACCTTAGAAAGTCAGAGCCAGGATTCCAAACTAGGCTCTCTGACTCAACCCCAGTGTTCTATCCATTATATGGCAGCTGACTGTCACTTCAGGGAGTGGAGGAAGAGGTAAATAGGCTTAAATAATCTCCAGATGTAGATGAGGATCTATCTACATGGGAAACCTTGTTTAGGAACTATACTGGGGAGGAGGAAATGAGGGTGCTGGAGGGAAGGCCCTTCTCTCCATGAGATCAATCTAACCATGGTTCCCTCCAGGACCAAGGCTCAGAGGTCAGTCAGGCCAGGCAGGGAAGCTTCAGATAGAGTCACTCAGGTAGGAGGGCTTGTCCTAGGGAGGGTGGCAACTCAACCCTAAAGAATTAATGAATGAGACAGTGACCTCTAGAGAGCCCTGTAGGGGAGAGAGTAGGGAAGGAGAATTGAAAAGTTCATAGATTTAAAGTGGAGGAGACCCTTGGAGATCATTTTAACCCCAGAGAGAAGGAGGAGGTTTTTCAAGTGAATACACAGAACATTTAGAAAATAATGATATTTCATTAATGAAGTTACGAAAGTGTTGGTGTACCCTTGGAGAAGGAAAGTTAACTTTTAGTTTTAATGAGAATATGCAGTCAGATTTCACATTGAATAAGAGACATGGGAAAGGTTACTAAAAAGCCAAGGGGTTTGGAGCCTGAAAAAGTAGGAATCCATCCATGCTCTGAACCAACCATGTGAACAACTGCACAGAGGAGGAAGGGTATGGAGCCCAGTCCTGACTCCAAACACTTTCTGCTACACTCAGCCAGGCCAGATTCCTGCTTCCTTCTCACTTGCTATAGCAAATGTTAGCTGGTAGGCTCCCCCACTTTGGCCCTCTATTCTCCTAGCACCACAGGCAGGCTGTGTCTCCAGCAGGACACAATCAAGGCAAGCCACACAATTTCTCCTGAGGGTCAAAACTGGATGGCAACTCCAGAAAGGTCAAAATAACTAGAGAGGATCTAGTCTGGACATTTCTTCTCCTCCCTTTATATTCTTCTTTTTTTCCACTGCATAACTTTTTTAAAAAGTTATTGTTTATTCATTATTAACATTCTTTTTGTTTTAAATTTTGAATTCCAAATTCTCTCCCTCGTTCTAGCTCCTCCTCCAACCACTGAGAGGCAAGAATATATCAATCCTTGATGTAAAATCATCCAAAACCTGTTTCCATATTACCATATAAAAAAAAAGAATAGTAAAGAAAGTGAAAATCATGATTCAAAATTCATCAGTTCTCTCTCTACAGGAGGATACTACATTTTCATCATGAGTCCTTTAGAACTGTTTTGATCATTGTATTGATCAGAACAGCTAAGTTGTTCATAGTTGATCATCATGACAACATTGCTGCTGTTTCTGTACACTATGATCTCTTGTTTCTGGTCATGTCACTTTGCATGAATTCACATGAGTCTTCCAAGGTTTTTGTGAAACCATTCCCTGGTCATTTCTTATAGCACAATATTATTCATTCAGAATCATGTGCCACAACTCGTTCAGCCATTCCACCATTAAGGAGCATCTCCTCAATTGGAAAATTCTTTGCCATCACAAAAAGAGCTGTTATAAATATTTTTGTGTGTATGTGCATACATATATATATGTATATATATGTATGTATGCATGTGTGTATGCATGTACACACATATATGCGCACATGTACATATATATGCACATATATACATGCATACACAGAGATATATACATATATGCACACAGACGTGTATGCCTACACAAACACATACCTATATTTATAATTTAGTATGTCCTTTTCCTTTTCCTTTGATTTCTTTGGATACAGACCTGGTAGTGGTATTGCTGGGTCAAAGGGTATACACAGATTTATAGTCTTTTGGGCATAATTCAAATTGTTCTCCAAAGTGCTGAGACTAGCAGACAACTCACTAATGATTGATTAGTATGTGTATTTTCTTTCATCTCCTCCAGCACTTGTCATTTCTGATAGATGTGAGGTGGTACCTCACAGTTGTTTTCGATTTCATTTCTCTAAGAATTAGTGATTTAAAACACCCTTTCTCACCACTGTAAAAAGCTTTGATTTCTTCTGAAAGCTCCCTGCTAATATCTCTTGACTCCTCATCAATTGGGGAATGGCATTAATTTTTACAAATTTGACTCAGTTCCAATATATTTGTGATAGGAGGTATTTATCAGAGAAACTTGCTATGTACATTTTGATATTACTTCATTATCTGTGGTACCTTTTATTAAAATTATAGTTTCCCTGACTAACTCTTATAATCAGGTCTATTTTTGCTTTGTCTCAGTTTATATGTGTACCTCTGCCTTTTTTACTTCAGCTGAAGCTTAACAGATTCTGATCCCATTTCTTCTTTTAACTCTGTGTCTTTCTGTGTCAATCGTGTTTCTTATAAACAATATATTGTTGGATTCTGGTTTCTAATCCATCCTGCTATCTTTTTGTTTTATGGGTGAGATCATTCCTTTAAAATTTATAGTTATGACTACTCACTGCTTATTTCCTCCATCCCATTTTCTTCTGTTTCTTCTTCTCCTCTCTTTTTATCCTGTCCCTCCTCAAAGGTCTGTTTTGCTTCTAACCACTGCCTCCTTAATGTGCCCTTCCTTTTGTCATTCCCCCTTTCTCTTAACCCCTTCTCCTATAATTTCCCTTTTGGGTAAGAGAGATTTCTATATACAACCAAGTGTGTATATATATAAAATCATCCCTCTTAGAACCAATTCTGATGAGAGTGAGGTTCAAGCATTTCCACTAAACCCCCTCATTTCACCTTGTAAATGCTCTTCCTTTCACACCTCTTTTATGTGAGAAAAATTTCCCCATTCTATCTCTCCTTTCCTACTTCAAATAGTACCTTCCTCTTTCTCACTCCTTCATTTTTTTCTGAGGTCACCTCATCATAATAAACTCACACACATGACCTCTAACTATGTAAACTCCTTCTAACTGCCCTTATAATAATAAAGATTTTATTATTTACATGTATCACCTTCACATAGAGGAATGTAAACAATTTATCCTTATTGAATTCCTTATGAGTTCTCTTTTCTGTTTATGTTTTTCTGCTTCTCTAGAGTCTTGTGTTTAGGAATGCTTAAAATTTTTCTATTTCATCAAATTTCCTTTGTTCCCCCTGAATGATTTACTCAGTTTTGCTACATAGTTTCTTCTTCATTATAGTCCTAGCTCTTTGCCTTCCCAAATATCATATTCCAAACTCACTGCTCCTTTAACATGGAGGCCACTAACTCTTGCGTGATCCTGACTCTGCCTCCATGATACTTGAATTGTTTCTTAGTGGTTGCTTGTAATAGTTTCTCCTTCACCTGGGAGCTCTGGAATTTGGCTATAATTTTCCTGGGAGTTTTCATTTTAGGATCTCTTTTAGGAGGTGATTGATAGATTTTTTCCCCCATTTCTATTTTACCCTCTAGATCTAAGATATTAGGGAAGTTTTCTTGGATAATTTCTTAAAATCATGCTTAGGCTTTTTCTTTGATCATGGGTTTCTGGAGTCCAATAATTCTTAAATTATCTCTCCTCCATCTATTTCCCAAATCAATTGTTCTTCTGAAGAGATTTTTCATATTTTCTTCTATTTTTTTTTCATTCTCTGATTTTGTTTTATTGTAGGAAGCAAGCCACCCTCCACTGAAGCAGGCTGTGGATGGAAGGGCCAGTGTTGGGAAGCAAGTACTGGCCACCACTTTCCAGACCCTTACCTAAGACAACACTGCAAGTCACAGAGACTATCCAGTGTGTGGGGGAGGAGGAAGAAGGGAAATAGCCCACTGGCGGTAATTGTTCATTTGTATTAACTATATGTGAACTGGTGCCCAGCAGGGTGCCATCTCCCAACCTTTCTTTCAATGCTCCGATGCCCTAGCCCTGCTGAAGGGAGCCCTGAATCCCTGATCCATTCTGACCCTTATGCCTGCTCCCCTCCACCTTCTTAATAGTGGTAGAGGCAGTCCCTGCAGACTCCCAACTCTGCAAGGCAGGCTCCCTGATGTGTTCTAGGGAGTCCTGGCCCTTGCCACTTGCCCTACCAGTGGCACCCTTAGTGGCTCAGGCCTTTCCCTCCACCTTGCAGGTGACCCTTTCTGTGTGCATTGGTCTTCCCAATTAGAGTGAGAGTTCCTTGAGAACACTAACTGTCTTTACATACTTGAAATGGCAGCTTTTAGTATGATTCTTGGTACATAGTAAGTAAGCACTTAACCTATGCTCTTTCATTCATGCATTCATTAATTCATTTGTTCATTCCTTTACTTTTCAAGAAAACTACTTGTGTTTTGAGCCTTTTTGAACCTGTGTGCTTCTCAGAAAAGCTGATACTGCTGGTGGAGGTGGGTGGGGGATTGACTAATGCTGAAATTCTCATATTGGTCTGGAGAGGTGGGATTGGGGGCAGAAAAGGTCAGGGACATGAAAGGTCTTTTGATGGTATCTGCACTGTTCATTACAAGGGGGAGCCTCTGACCAAGGGTCATTCTCTGTGTTGTCCTTTTCCATAAGAAATAAATTCATCAGAGACTCAAGTTTCCAGAGGACACGTGGACCAAGTCCTCAGCTGCATGGAAGATCAAGAGAGTGAGGTCTCCTAGAGGACACAGGGATGTGAGTGACTGAGACCACACATGTAGGTGTTCCACTGTGAGTGAATGTGTATGTGTATGTGTGTGTGTCTGAGTATGCAGGAAGGTTTGTGTGAGAATGGGTGGCTTTGTGCTAGAGGGAGAGCAGGAGGTAAGTGAGAGAGCCCAGTCCAGCAGAGACAGTTCCGTACTTTACTTTCTCTTCCTCCTACCACACTTTCATCCTTCAACCTCAAAACCTCAACAACTCCCTGTGCTCCTGGTGGAGACCCTAGACA